AGGATCGGAAGGAGGGGAGCAGGGCTCAGCTCACCTGGGGGATGGACAGCCAAAGCAGCCACAGCCAGGCAGGGACCATGGTCAGGACGGGCCTGAGGGACAAGGCAGTGAGGATCCAGCCCAGATGGGTGGGCAGGAGGCCCCTCCCACCCTTTCCCCTAGCAAGTATTCCTCTCGTCATCCCCTCTCAGCTCCAGGCCGTGGCTTCCCCAAGGGCCATGTGACTGTCTCTCCTTCAACTGAACCTCCTCCGAGCTGATCACCATGGGGCAAGCAGGCAGGCCTCCTCCTGGCCCCTGTCTTTCCATGCTATGCCAGCAACTCTCAAAGCTGCCCTCCCCGGCCCCTCCAGGTGGACACTGCCACCACCCGCGTCTCCTGCCTCAGCTTATTCTAAATACATCGACAGAGGGACTTCATGACAGACTGGCCTCCTCTTCCTCCCCTTCGAAGGGCCTGTGGCTCCCCGTTGCTGGCAGAGTAGTGTCCAGACACTCAGTCAGACACACCAAGGCCCCCCCAGGCCCAGCTGCCCTGCCCCACAGGAACCATGGGACTTTCATCTCCAGACCTTTGTCTCCTTCCCGCCTTAGCCTCCCCACATCACAGACCCCAGCGTGGCAATTTCCCAGCAGCCCTGAAAAATCACACACGTTTGGAAAGACCCTGATGCCAGCAATTGCCTCATGTTGCAGGCAAGGCCTGAAGGACAGGGCCTGGCCAAGGTCACAGAGGATTAATGAACCACAGGAGAATTCCTCCTGGAACAGAGAGAGGACTCTTGGTTCAGGGTCTCCAGGACCGTTCTTCTTTCCACTGCCATCCTGCACACTCCGAGTCCCCTCAGGGAAGGAACCCTGCCCTCCTCTTGGCATTTCCCAGCACTCCGCGTGGCGCTGGGCACACAGAACGCGGACAACCACGCCGGTCTCCCCTGGATGGCGGGAGGACAAGGCAGTGTTTCTCCTCCCTCCCTCCCCCAACCCCACCTCAGCCCTGCCCACCCTCCACCCCCAGCGCCCAGGCCTTCACCTGCTGGTGCCCAAAGCTGGCTCCCTGGGTCCAGCTGCCAGGTGAGCAGGTTTTCCTCCAAGGAGTGCAGGCTGGACCTGGCTGGGTGGAGCAGGGCAGGGCGGACACTTGAGCAGGCAGGGCGTACACTTGAGCAGGTAGGCGGTCCTGCCACGCCACGCTTGCTCGGGAATGGAAAACTGACTGGTTTGGCTCAGTGGATAGGCCTGGCCTTGCCCAACCTCCCAGGTTATTCATTGACTTTGCAAAGCTGGGGGCTGCTCAGTATCCATCACTGCCAGCCCTAGGAGGTGGGGAGATCTTCGGCCTGGCACTCCTACACAGCCCAGTGGGCACTTCTTAGCCCTCTGGGCCTGGACAGTACCGTCTGTGGGTTTCCCATCCGCAGATTCAACAAAGCATAGGTCAAAAATATTTTTAAAAAGAAATGATGTTGTTGATGTGTAGTTAGGCCTACAATGGTTACATCTTACTAAACAAGTACAGACATTTTTTCCTTCTCATTATTCCCGGAACAATACAGTATAACAACTATTCACACAGCATTTCCATTGTGTTAGGTTTTGTAAGATGATTTAAGTATTAGGTATTATAAGATTAGGTATTGCAAGATGATTATAAAATATATTAGATATGATAGAGATGACTTAAAGTATATGACAGGCCCTTAGCGGTTTGGCTCAGTGGATAGAGCGTCGGCCTGTGGACTGAAGGTTCGATTCCAGTCAAGGGCATGTACCTTGGTTGCGGGCACATCCCCAGTAGGGGGTGTGCAGGAAGCAGCTGATGGATGTTTATCTTTCATCGATGTTTCTAACTATCTCTTTCCCTTCCTCTCTGTAAAAAAAAAAATCAGTAAGATCTATAAAAGTAAATAAATAAAGTATACGGGAGGGAGGATGTGCATAAGTTATATGCAAATACTGCAGCATTTATATAAGGGATTTGAGCATCCCTGGGTTTGGTATCCTGGAGAGTTCTGGAACCAATCTCCCATGGAAATGAACTACTTTTTCTTTTATTTTCTTCTTTTTAAAAAAATATATTTTATTGATTTTTACAGAGAAGAAGGGAGAGAGACAGAGAGCTAGAAACATCAATGAGTCATCGATCAGCTGCCTCTTGCACACCCCCCCCTGGGGATATGCCCGCAACCAAAGTACATGCCCCTGACCGGAATCGAACCCGGGACCCTTCAGTCCCCAAGCCGACGCTCTATCCATTGAGCCAAACCGGCCTTGGCAACTTTTTCTATGGCTCCAGATTCAGTCCCACTTCTCCCTCACGCACCTTCTGCAGCTCCACCTTGGCCCACTCTGTTCCTTTCGTTTGGATGCCCTTCCCACCACTTCATTTGTCTGGTGAGCATCTGCTCAGGTGCCGGTACTCGGCTCCTATTCCCTTCTCCAGGAAACCTTCCCTGCGCTCCCAGGTGTGTTCAGGCTTCTCTGAGAACACCCCAACCCCATGCCATGAGCTATCTCTACCAATGCAGAGAGGGCACCAGATTGTTACTGTCTGTCTCTTCCGTCTGACGGAGAGCCTGCCTCCAGGACAGCCTGCAGGGACCCCGCTGTGACTGGTCCTTGCCCAGTCTTAGCAGCTCCCCGCTGTCCTGTGGAACCAAGACAAGGCGCTGAGGTTTGTACGCGAAGGAGACAGGAGCAGTGCACCACCTGGGCATTCAGGACTCCAGACCACCCACAGTGGGGAATGGGTGAGGGCACAAAGGCCTGTGAGATCCCCTGATACTCTTTAAGTGCTTGCACTAATCCCTGGACACTGAAAAAGCTGAGACAACAGACTGTCGCGTGCCTCTGAGGCGGAAAGAGAGGACTGGGCCAGCTCAGGTGACCTTGAGAGAATTGCAGGGCTGCCCAGGGGCCCTTCCCCCAGGGAGGCAGCCAAGCAGAGCGGAGAGGAGCTTCTGGGGCCTGGGAGTCCAGAACCAGGGGGGAGGGTGGGAAAGGTCCTAAGGTCTCTAATCTTTCCTTGTCCTCGGAGCTTCCCATGGTCTCCCCCGGGTCCTGCCCACTCCATATCTGGTTAATTCCTCTCCGGCTGGAGGCTGGGCCAGGACCCCTCAACTGCACCCAGTCTTGCCTGTCACAAGCTGTGTGCCTGCCTCGGGGTCACCCCGAGCACCCCAGCCTGGAGCAGTGCAATGTGGGGGTGTTGAGGGGTCTCACGTGTGTTAAGCTCCTACAATATGCCTGCTCTCAGCACATGGCTTCATTATTCCACTCACTGTGTTCTGAAGAGGACATCATCCCCATGTCACACCCTGAGGCACAGAGAGGCTGAGTGGCTTGCCGAGGGTCACACAGCCAATAAGTGGCAGAAGCAGGCAGGTCTGGATTCTTCTTCAGGTCAAGACCTTTACCTGCCTGAGAAATCCATACGTTCCACATGCCTCGAGGTAAGCTGGGGGAGGGAAGAGCAGCAGAAACTTTGAACGGTTGACATTGCCCTGGGGGGGCATGTGGGTGAGTCACAGAGGTCCCATACTCTGAGGAGCAGCCTTTCAACTTCCTCCTGCCATTGGACAAGGCTGCGAGGGCTCCCAGGGGAATGAACAACCTGAACTAAGGAAGGCATGGATGGTCTCTGGCCTGGAACCTTCTCAGAAACTCCCAGCCTTGCCCCTGGCTGCCTCCAAGCTCTGGAAACCCGCACACCCCATTCCAAATGCCAGTCCCCGTTCAGCCACTTCTACCTATGGGACCTCGGGCAAGCACTTCAGTGTCCTCTCTGCCATTTTTTTTTTTTTTTTTTTTTTTTGTCCTCTCTGTCATTGCTCAATGGGGACGCTTGTTCCGGAAGCGACCTACATCACTGCAGGCACCTTTCTGGGTGTGAATGGGGGAAAGGGGGGCAGGCTCATTTCTCTCTGTGATCGTGCACACATTCCCACACAGACTCAAGGCCTCTCGTTCCAGGCTGGGAGGGCTCCAGGGACCTGTTCCTGCCAATACCATAAGCAGGGGATGTTCTGGCTGGGCCACGCACAGTGGAGGGGACAGTGAGGCCCCTCAGTAGCCCAGCCTCAGCCAGGAGGCGGGATCTATTCAGAGTCAAGTCCACAAGATGTGCCTTCCTCACCTCACCCTTAACAAGCCAGGGAGTCTTGAAGTCTCTCATAGCCACCACCACTAGCACCCCAACCCCTACACCCCCAGCCCGTGCCCGGTGCATTTCCAGCCCCTCTGGAGGGAGCAGGATAGAGGTACCAACTGGAGGGCCAAACCCAGGGTTCTAATTTGGCCATGAGACTTGGGGCAGGGTGAGGTCCTTGGTCAGCCTCGGTTTCCCTTATACACAGGGAGTAATTGAACCCTCAACCAATGGGCACTGCCAGGCCCCAGCGCAAGAGAAGAATCTGGATAATACGTGGGAGGGATCCATGTCTCCTCCTGCTGCTGGGACCCCAGAGCAGGCCCCACTCACACCTGCCCCCTCTGTCTCAGCTGGCTACATCTGGACCCAAACCTTAGGATAGTCCAGGCCACACACTTTGGGAGCCCTGCCTGCCTGTTCCTGCGGCCCCTCCCCTCCCAGGAGGAAACACAAGAGTCCACAGCCTCCAACTATCAGGAAATAGTCTTTATTACAAAAAAAAAATCTGCCTGTAAACAAATAGCCACCGCACTGAACAGCCACCCTGCAGGGCATACATACACACCGGGTGGAGAGAGAGGCAGCGTCCTCTCCCCACACACAGAGCTGTCCCGGGAGCTGGGCCCGGCTGCTGCTCGGGACACGCGTGGGTGGGCCTGGCCAAGCACCTCTCTGGGCCCAGCCCTCGATGGTCCGTGGAAGCCGCCTCCGCGGGCAGCACTGTCCGTCCATGGCCACGAGGTGGGGGACACCGGAGTCTGGGCCAGCCCTGAGGCACCGAGGGCAGTCTGCTGGGCCAGCCCACCAAGTCTGTCCAATGGCCTGCGCAACACAGCGAGCGGCCTTGAGGCCTAGAGCACCGAGAGGTCGTGGCAAGACTTGGACTTGGCCCGGAAGGCCATCTTGCGGCTGTTGCGCGCCACGATGCGGCCCAGGAAGCGCTTCGCCTTCTTGCCCAGGCTCTCCCTCCGCCTGGTGCCCGCTTGCCGGCGGGCGTTGGCCTCTTTGCTGTCCCTGCGCAGGCGTATCTGGCGCACGACGCCCTCGAACAGCGCCTGGACGTTGTGGTGCAGAGCCGCCGAGGTCTCGATGAACTTGCAGTCGAAGACCACCGCGCAGGCCCGGCCCTCTGGCGTAGGCGGGGGACAGGCACAGACCAGTCAACCAAGGGTGGGTGCGTGAGGAGCCCCTCCAACCCTGGGCACCCCATGGCAGCTACCACTCGGGAATCTATGGGTAAGGGACAGGGGAGCCCTGGGTCCTCAGAAACCGAGCCCCCCCCCCCCTCTCCAACCCTGTAGGGAGGGTCTCAGGGATTGCCGGTCACCCAACGGGGCGTCTGGGTTGAAGGAGCTCAGAAAGGCCCACAAAAGGAGACTCGTCTGTTGAAAATAATCTGGAGTCTGATACGTAAATGGAAGTGCTGCAGGAGTCAGCGCGGGAGAATGAGAACTTGGTTGGAGAGCTTAGCGTTTTAGGCCATGATGAACGAGCAGTGGAATGGTGGGTATGTAACCCAGTCACTGCCAGGTTCCTCGAAGGGGCTCAGTTCTGGGGGCCGCAAAGGAGGGTCCTCAGCCCAAGAGGGTGGGGTCCTCCCCAGGGGCAAGCGCTACTTGCAGACTGGCCCAGGCCTGGGGTCCAGGCTCTGACCTCCTGGCCTGCTTCCATGCACTCTCCTCACTCCTCATCTGGCAGGCTAGGGCCTCAGAGGATAGGAGAGGAGGGCCCTGGGGTGACCCTTAGTCCTTTCCCCAGCACTCTCAGGTTTGGGGGAGTCCTGTGGGAGGACCGCAGCTCTCTCCTTCTCCCTCCCAAAGTTTTCTTCCTGAACTTTTTTAGCCACTGATGATCCCCGGGGACTCAAGCTGAGTCAAGCCTGAGTGGACCACAGCCCAGCCAAGATCTCCCTCCCTTCCTGCTCACCGTCCAAGGAGACCTCCCGGGAGCGCACCAGGTCGCTCTTGTTGCCCACCAGGATGATAGGCACGTCGTCTGTCTGCCGCGCCCGCCGCAGCTGGACCCGCAGCTCTGAGGCCTTCTCGAAGCTGCCCTTGTCCGTCACGGAATAGACGATGACGTATGCATCCCCCATGGCCATGCAGTGGCCAGGTAGCCAGTGGCCCCCATCCTGAAGAAGACATATATACACACACACATTTACCCAACAGTCCTCATGCCCCAGCTACAAACTGGTGCTCCCAGCAGGCCCCTACCCCCAGCTCACCCCTCCCGCCCTGCCCTGGGTCTCAGCCTGCATCCTACCTGATCCCAAATGTCATAGACCATGAGCGATGCCTCTTCTCCATCCACCATGATGGAGCGATCGTACGTGTGCCCTAGAGAGGAGACTAGTAGTCAGGTTACTTGCTGGCTGCCAAAAGCCTTCCCCCAACCCCCAGGGGCCCAGCTTCCTATTCTGGCCACACACACCCCAACTCCTCCCCAGAGCCTCCCTCCCAACCTTCCTGTCCACTGATGGCTGTTATGTGGCAACAGAAGTGGGGTTTGGGGGGGTGGGGGGGGAAGCATGCTGTACCTGACCCTGACCTAGACACCCTTTCCCTCTGCTCCCTGCCCACCTGTCGCCTGGGTGGGTCTGACCACAGTGGCCTGAGTTAGAATAACGCTAGTCACATCCTCCGGGGGCCTTGATCACCTAAGACGCCTCTCCTAGAAACTCCCTCTGGCTGTGTTCCTGTCCATCAGGCAGGAAGGGCTGTCCTGCCTCATCCTAGAGCGGTCCTATGTCTGCCTCGGGCCTTCCCTCAGCATTTCTTCTTCTACCGAGGGTCCCTTCTCCCTTCATTTCTCCAACCCTGGGAGCTGGGTAGGGCAGAGGCATGATTCTTGAAAGCGTCTTCCAATCCCTTGTTGTGCGCCACTTTTATTCCAGGTCCCTAGCCCTGTAACCCTGGGATGTCCCCTCCTTTGAAGAGTCCCAGCGCCTCACCTGCGGCCTCGGCTTCCGGCCCGTCCTCTAAGCCGCCGAAGATGCGCGCCAGGGCGCTCTTGCCCACGCCGGGCGCGCCCAGCAGCAGCACCTTGTACACACTCTCCTCGGAGTCGCTGCCCCCGGAGCTGAGCGAGTCGGAGGAGCTCTCGGGCCAGTCCAGCCTCGGGCCCCGGGTCCGGGGGCCCGCGCCGGCCGCGGCCAGCGCGCCGGGAGCCAGCGCCGCCTGCAGGTCGCGCTCGTCCACCGGCATGCTGCGGCGGTGCAGCGGCGGCGCGGGGCCCCAGGGCGTGCTGCCCCGACGGCGCTCGCGCTCCCGGCACCCGCCGCCGCGGCTCCCGCCCGCCGCGCCGCCGCCGCCGCCGTTCAGGGTCATCACGTCGGACGCCGTCTGGGGAAGAAAGAATCGGGGCGGCCTGGTAAGCCACGGCGGCGGCGAGGGAGAGGGAGGCTGGACCCCACCCGGCGCGCCTACCCAACCCCGGGGATCTGGCGAGATGCTCGCTACCGACGTCCCCGCGGGGTCCCATCCCCAGGCGGGGAGGTCCATGCGCCCTGCCTGGTGACCCATCCTCCTGGCTGGTCCATCGGCAGCCCTGACGCTGCGACCACCCCCCAACACACACACACACACACACACACATACACACACACACACACACACACACTGCGATCCGCCGGGACACTCACCCCCTCGCTCGCTCGCTGGCGCACAGACTCGGTCCGGACACGGTCCCGCGCTCCGATCGCAGCCCCGGGCTCGCGCGCTCAATGCTGTCGCCGCCGGTGCTCCTCGGTCCGCACTGGGTCCGGCCCTGGGAGCAGCCTATTTAAGCCTCCGCCCGCCCCCGCGCTCGCCCCCGTCCACGCCGAGGCCGGGGCTGGGGCTGACGTGTCTGTCCCCCTCTCCCCAGGAGGGATCCCACACCCTCCTCCCGGGACCTCACACCCATCGAGACCCCGCCCCACCCGCCGGGGCGGAGCAGGGCAGGCTGGCAGACAAAGCCCGGGTCTGAGTGTGTGTGCGTGTGCGTGTGCGTGTGCGTGTGCGTGTGTGTGTGTGTGTGTGTGTGTGTGTTTGTGTGATGTGGGAGGCAAGGAAGGGAGAGAAGAAGAAGGGAGGGGATGTGAATGGTGCTGAGAAGGTGTAAGGGAGGGAGGGTGCCGTGATGGGTGGAGGAGGCAAGGACCAACCAAGTGTGCCAACTCCTCTCTGGGGGAAGAATTAGGGCTGGCCCTTTAAAAGTAAATTCACCACCACCACCACCACCACCCTCCCTCTTGCCCAGCCCTGGCCTGTGGCCCAAGCAAAGCAGAACATTTACAGACTGGACAGACTTCACCCTTCGCTGCCCATCGACATCCCCTCCCCACGGTCTCAGATCTGAGCTGGAATGTAGGGGTCCTTAATCTGACTTCTAACCTCCACCCCAAGTTCTCCCCGCTCCTCCCTGCCGTGGGAAGCTGAAGTTCCTGCCTGATGAGCTTGCCCCTTCAGGGTGAGGGTGAGTGTCATCCCACAAACCCCGGGGGGAGGGGGAGCTACTTGAGGGAGGAGATGAGGAAGGGAGGCCTTCTGGCCCTGTGTGCAGCTAGAGGTTTAAGCTTGAATCCTGGGGAGGGAACACAGGCCCAGAGCAGGAGAAAGGATGAACTTAGTAGCACCTCAACCCCCAGCACCCTCCAGACAGCTGCCAGCAACTCTGCTAAAAATACCTGGCCCTGGCCCCAGCCCTGGTCATTCTGTTTCTGGGCTGGAGGTTGCCCAAAGTTGGGGAAATCCTGGCAGGCAGGTGTCAGATGCCAGCAGGAGCAGAAAGTGGTGGAACTGGACCAGGAACTGGATCAGGGCTGGATCCAGCCACTTTAAGAGCCTGCAATGTCTCCCTCCTTCGCCCTACTCCTGGTGCGGACATGCTTGTTCAGGACACATGCAAGACCTGGAGGCTCAGACACCCATCCAGGAGGAGCACAGATGCAGGGGGACTTGGGGGGTGGGGGTGGGAGATCTTAGCCACCACCTGGTGTCACCACTGCTCAGAGCTCATCCCTTCTTCAGACCTAGGGTGGGGAGATGTAATGAAGAGGGTTGGTTTCTAGTCCTTGTTCTCCCTCCAGCTTCCTGGGTCTTGCCTCCATCCCAGTCTCTGGGTACCTTGCTATAAATTGAACATGAGCTAATCCTCCTTACTCATATATCTGGGGTTATGTGAGGGTTGAGGGCAGGCAGGCTGTGATGTGCTTTGTGACAGAGCCCTACTAGAAGACTTTGAGGTTTAGTTGTAACAAATGTGGCAGAAGTGGAAACACCCATTCAGGGCTCAGGTGACATCACAGATGATGCATCCTGGTGTACTGTTATAGGTTGCCATGGAGACCCGGTAGGGCTCTCTGGCTTCTGTGTCAGTTTCCTTGGCAACATCAGAAAGGGCCCTGGAGTAAGGAGAGCCCACGGCTAAGTGTTAATGGGTTCATGCAGTCCCCTGTCATTCTTAAGGTCCCCAAAGTAAGCAAGGGCTGGACTATAGGGTGGCCCATAGGACGTGTTCTTCACATGGCCTGAAGGGTCTTGGGGGCCTGGACGACCTTATGCTGGCTCTAACTTCCTGGGCCAGGTCTAACGGGAAGAGGGAGTTGTGGGTCCAGGCTCATGTCAGCAGACACAAGTCTCAAGGGCCAGCAAACCACTTCCCATCAGAATCCTGGCTGGGCTACTTATGGCCCCTCCTACCCACCGCTCACATGACTATGCCACTGAAGAGAGCTTCTGCATGTCCAGCAGAGGGTGGGCAAGAGGGGGGATGGTATCTGTGGCCCTTGCCAGCAGGGAGCCATGCAAGGAATTAGGGCTGGGTTTCCCCTCTGGTAATCTGAGCTCTTGACCTCAGCAGTGTTTCTTCATTGCCAAGGGAACTGCACCCACATTGGGCCACTCAGGCCCCAGGCATTCCCCAACGGGCCAGACACACTCACTTCAAGGTTAGGTATGGCCGGGAGCCCCAGGAGCCAAGACCAGGACATGACCTTCAGACCCCTCCACTCCCACCTCCGGGTCCTCCCGGCGTTCTGAACAACCCGACCTTCAAATCCCAGCTCTGTCCCTCACTAGTTGCCTCACCTCTGCCCATTTATCTTGGCTGAGCCGGTTTCCTCCTGTGTAGAATAGGGATATTGTCTTGGAGGGGGTTGTTAGGAGATATCAGTAAATTAGTTGGCACGTGTCTGGCATATAGTAGGATCTCCATAGGAACACTTTCTTTTTCATACTTGATTGGGCAAGGGCAGGTTGAGTGAATCCGTGGGCTCTGTCCTGTTTCTTCTTTCCTGCTTCTGCTCTGTTCTCTCCAGAACAGTGATCTATGGAGAGAGGTAGATCCCTCTCCTATCTCCCCCACACCCACCTTTTCTCTGTGGGACCCCCACATCCTTCTCCCTCAGGTAGTAAAATGCTGCAAGGGGCTGAAATTGGTTTGGCTCAATGGATAGAGCGTCGGCCTGTGGACTAAAAGGTCCCGTGTTCAATTCCGGTCAAAGGCATGTACCTTGGTTGCAGGCACATCCCCAGCAGGGGGTGTGTAAGAGGCAGCTGATCAATGATTCTCTCTCATCCATGTTTCTAACTCTCTATCCCTCTCTTCCTTCCTCTCTGTAAAAATCAATAAATATATAATATATATATATATATATATATATATATATATATATATATATATTTTAAATGCTGCAAGGGGGACTTGGCTAGGCTTCAGTATCTTTAGCTCTCCCCACACAACAGCCCCCAAACCTCAGTTCCTCTGCTCTAGTCTAAAGTCCAATTCATTCATTCATTCCACTGACTTACTACTAAGTACCTACTGTGTGCCCTCAGACCCTTGTACTGTGGGCATGATGATAAGCAAAAGACCACATAGCTGGGCACGTTCTACATGTCATCTAGTCCTTGGGTCAAATCTCACTTAGCTATGATCTGTCATTCCCATTTTGCAGACATGGTAACTGAGGCCTGAGAAGTCATAGGCCTGAAATGGAAGAGCCAGACACAACTGGTAGAGGCTTTTGAAACCTAAAACCTCAACACCCCCCTCCTAATCCTGTACCCTGTCCTCACACAGCACCTGGGTTCCAGAAAGTTCCCCGGGCACTAGCCCAGGATTCACAGATGGTGTCCGTGCAGGCAGCCAGGGGCCAGACACATGAGTCAAGACTGACAAGGGGACTGTCTGATGTGCCTGCTGTGACATGATCCGCTGAATATCCCTTGCCCACCACAGCCTGGCTGCCAGGAGGGCCAGTGGAATGACTCAGTGACACCTGCCTCCCCTATGACTTTCCACATCTGGCTGATCAGACACCACCGACACCTTTGAGAGATCAGGGCTGTCAGTGTGCATGCGGGTGGTGAAGCTTACAGCCAGGCACTGGCGGTCGGGAAGGCTCCCTGGGGCCTGAGGGACCCTGGCTGGTCACTCTCCCTCTCTGGAGTGCTAAGCTTCTCTGTCTGTGTAAGTAGGGGAAGGGGGGTACAATGCCTGGAAGATCATCTGACCTGGGCCCAGATCCATTTCAAATCTCCACAGAGCAGTCCCAAGTGATTGTCATGACTGTCCCCACATAACATGTGAAGCAACTGGCGGCCTGTGCTGAGGCTTCACCTGAGTTTGGGCAGCCAGGTCTTGGGTCTCTAGGGGACGAAGCCACTCCCTCCTGGAATCCGGGTGGGGTGGGCATAGACCCTTCCATTCAGGCAACAGCGCCCCCTGCCAGCTGATCTGTACCTGCTAAACTGCTTAGGTTCCTCCTTACTCCCTAGAGGCCTTGGGGAGTAATTACTTATTCTAGCAGCTCATTTTCTCACCTGCAAAATAGGGATAATAGAGAGTAGTAACTGCCACTGAAACCTGGATCAAGAATTGCCCGACTAGGTAGTATATGTATAGTTCCCATCATGTCCAAACTTAGTGTTATCAACCGGCTCTGGAGAACAGATTTGCCAAATGGCGACTCCCTGCCGAGGCCTTTGGAGGTCTCTGCCCTCAGTCATGTCTGAGTCTCAGCCAGACACACCTACAGCATCCCTGGGCAATGTTCTTATGGAAAAACTCAAACCTGAACTCACTCAACTTTGGGTTTACAGGAAACACAGCAAAGGAACAAATCAAACTGTGGTTCTTCTCCAAGACAGCTCACCTGGACTTTTCAAAAAAGTCAGTGTTAAGGAAGATAAAAAGAGGGGGTTGGCAAAAAGAGAGATAACAACCAAATGCAAATTCATGAAACTCGTCTGGATACTGATTTAAAAAACTATGAATGATGTTTTAGAGAAATTCACATATGACAAGATATTAATGGTGCTAGAGAATTGTTCACTTTTTGCAT